GGAATCTGACTGATAAAAACTTTGGAGCTTAATCCGGGACCAGTTTGTGGATAAACAACGTCGAGAGAGCCGCGGACTTATGTTTTTCCGCATTACACTCCCCCCGGGAAGGAATCCCATGCAGTGACGTATGCTGCAGCRGGAGGGGGTTTCCCCAGGAGCTCGGTTCAGGGTGTCTCAGGAACTATGAAAGGTCTGTGCGAAAACGAACGCYGAACAACCACGTGACGGCGYGTCGACTGGTCGGCTGCCGAGCGACCATACTGCAGRCTTTACARGTTTTCAGCTGTTAGGAGCTGAGAGTCGTTCTCATCCCACCCTCAGTCTGATGGTTTCTCCTCAGAAGGGTCTGAAACTGTGCGGTCACATTCTCAGTGCTCGGCCTGAAGTTTGAAGTTGGCTCTTTGTTCRTTTCAGGTTGTTACGACGGTGGTGTGTATTTCTTATGTGCCAAAACCGGAGAGATCCAGTGGTTGTTTCAGACGGGGGACGCAGTGAAGAGCTGCCCTGCTGTGGACCCTCAGATTGGACTGGTGTCGGTGGGCTCCCATGACGGACACGTGTACGCCCTCAACCCTCAGGTGAGCGTCAGATGACCCAGAAGATCTTGGAGAAGCAGAAAACTACAGTGTGTGTGTGTGTGTGTTGCAGAGCCAGCAGTGTGTTTGGAAACATCACTGTGGCGGAGCTGTGTTTTCTTCTCCACACCTCCAAGCCTCACGGCGGCGGCTCTATGTGGCGTCTCTCGGAGGACACCTGCTGTGTCTCCACCAGGTGAGGAGGACAGCTGAGATCTGGACATTGAAGGAACGCATCTTTCAAATCAAAGTTTTAAACAAATATCTTGTAACGTCAGTGTAGGTCAACACCCCCTGCCCCTCCCACACACACATCTCTGCTTGTGTGGATTATACACACAAACCTGTTTAACTTTGACAAAACTTTACGTTCTTCGTCTCACTGCTACAGCTGAGCCCTGCTAATAACTGAGCTCTACCTGGTATTTCCTGCATAGAAACAGCATTTTTAACATGTCCTCTTATAAACACTGAAAAGTACTAAGTGTACGACTGACTGAATGTGAAATAAGTAATACAGAAATACTATTAAAAGTACAAAAGAGTTTTACTCACTGAGTTGTGGTGAGTACCTGCTGTCTTGAATTCTAAACTCTCCCACTTCCCAAATGGGAGTTCCCAATGGAGATGTGTTCTAGTTTAAATTTACAACTTGTCAATGGGAAATTCCCACTTCCCAGTACCAACTAGGCTGTAGCAGAAGTAGCTGTGGAAAATTCAGAGAAATGGAGATTTTACACAGTGAATAGCTTATTTGCCATTGCCACGGTCATTAATGACGTATTTCTGTTAAAATTCCAGCCACGCTCCTCCCTTCCACTTCCTGTTTACTGCCTATGTTTTTAGCATTAGCTCCTTGTACTCGTCCGTGAAAAAGTCACAAAAGTTAAAGCATCTGTGAGCTAATGGTATAAAATGTGAGTTCTGTTGTGTGCCGTTGTGTCAACTAAGCAGTAGGTACAATAGAGTATTTAGTTTTTATCAATTTTCCTTTAGATGAGGAGTAAAGGGGACAGCAGTGGATCATAGTAATACAGGGAAAACTTAGCTATAAAAGCTCACGCTCGTGTTTGTAATAAGCATTTCTAACCTGAGGATATTCAAGAG